TTCATTGGACAGATCATAAACATTTATCTGATATCACAGAATTGTTACAAAGTGTTCCCTGGCCTGGACTCATTTATTCACTCATTCATTTATTCTGATGATATTTATCAGCTGCCTTGTATGTGTCAGGAACTGTGCCCTGGCCATGTGGGAATGAGACCAACTGGGACCCTGCTCCCTGGGGCTTCAGTCTCCTGGGAGAGGTTGAGATGAGTTCAGTAATCATGGAGATTAGTACAGACTGGCCACAGTTGTGGAAGAATGATGCTTGGTGTGGGCCACAGTGTCTCATCCATGAGAACCAATCCCATACCCCTGCTTCTCATCCCCCCAAGTTTTAGAAAATAGGGCCTGGGGGGAGGACCCAAGTATGTTAAGGTATGTTTCTGGGCCTGTGTTTCCTCATCTGAAAACAAATGGACATCATAGTTTCTATCTCATAGGGATGTTGTGAGGATTAGCTGGATTTCCAGGTTAGATAGATCATGCCTGGTGTAGTCTATGTGCAACATAAGCAGTCATTCACATTATTATTATCATTCTCTCTTTGAAGCCTCAATCCTCCTCTTTAAAGTGCAAGACCCTTTTATTTATGTATTTTAAAATTCTTATTCATTTTATTTTATTGTAAAATACTAGGGGTACTAGGGGTTGAATTCAGGGCCTCACTCATGTTAGACAAGTACTCTATTCCTGATCTACACCCCCAGCCCCTAGAAACATTTTGAAAAATTGGTTTTCTACTTAAAAAAAAAAAATATATATATATATATATATATAATTTTCTCTGGAGGGCTACAGTGAAAATTAAAAACAGTTCATTATTTCATCAAAAGTCACAGTTAACATTTCTCCAGCGCCTCCTTTGCATCAAGCATCATCCAGCCTTTGCAAAAACTCTGGACTGGAGATATTGCAATTATGCCCATTTTACAGAGGTTGAAACTAAAGCACAAGAGAGCTTTGTCTTTGCTCAAGAGCTCCAGGTCGTTAAGATTTGGAGGGACTGGTGGTTAGGGGTGAGAGAGCTTCTGGGCTGGGTCTTGATGGCAAAGGAATGGGACTCACGCTGCCTTCATGCCCCCTGTCCTCAGGAAGCTGGACGCTTTCATTTATGATGCAGCAGTGCTCAACTACATGGCCCGCAAGGATGAGGGCTGCAAGCTTGTCACCATAGGCTCCGGCAAGGTCTTCGCCACCACAGGCTATGGCATCGCCCTGCACAAGGGCTCCCGCTGGAAACGGCCCATCGACCTGGCACTGCTGCAGTTCCTGGGGGATGGTGGGGCTGCCTGCAGGGACTTCCATTTTCACATGGGAGGCGGGAGAATGGGACCCTGGGGACCTGGGGAAGGAGAGATTGGGGACCTTAACACCAGGGTCTGCTAGATGAAGGGCTGGGGGGCGTGGACTCCCATAACAGAGGGGGGAGGATCCTGAGAGGGTGTTCATAGCAGGTGACCTCTGACACCACCTTCCCCAGATGAGATCGAGATGCTGGAGAGGCTGTGGCTCTCTGGGATCTGCCACAATGACAAAATCGAGGTGATGAGCAGTAAGCTGGACATCGACAACATGGCGGGTGTCTTCTACATGCTCCTAGTGGCCATGGGCCTCTCCCTGCTGGTCTTCGCCTGGGAACACCTGGTCTACTGGCGCCTGAGGCACTGTCTGGGGCCCACCCACCGCATGGACTTCCTGTTGGCCTTCTCCAGGGTATGTAGCGGGAGGAGACCCGCAGAGACAGGGAGGTACCGGCAGAGTTGAGGAAGGAAGGGAAGAACGTGGTGACGCAGGCGTAGATGTGGGGAGAAAGAGGCAGGAACTAACGGTGGTGGAAGGGTCCCAGGCAGAGGCCTGGAGAGGAGGGAAGCACCCCCAAGGGAGGGCAGATGTCCTTGCATCCTGCGCTGACCCCATTCTCTCACCCGCCACACAGGGCATGTACAGCTGCTGCAGCGCCGAGGCCGCTCCTCCGCCAGCCAAGCCCCCTCCGCCTCCTCAGCCTCTGCCCAGCCCCGCGTACCCCACTGCGCGGCAGGCTCCGGGCCCCGCGCCATTCGTGCCCCGAGAGCGCGCTGCCGTGGA